GCGCCTTAGCGCCAGGGCTGCCGCAGAGATTGACCCTCGGACCTCGCTCCATGTGCGTACGTGCCTCGCGAAGCCGTCGAAAGTCGACTTGAGCACACTTGCAGGGATCCAACCTTCCCATGGCGCCCGTGCGAGGGCGCAAACAGGCGCCAAGGTCGCGCCAAACATCGGGTCGATCTCGCACGGCCCGCCGAAGACGAGGCAACCAGTGGACTTGCCCTACGGTCTTGGCTCTATAGCCTTGACTGCCAGCGCCCTGGCGTGCTTGAGCTCGCTGTCAGACATCCCAGTGCACGACGCTCCATACATGATGCTGGGCATAAGGCCTGCGAACGCGACCTTAGCCGCTGCGGCTCGGCCTCACCGTAGCCCCAGAAGCCGTTTGATGCGAGGGGGCCGCGCCGTGGCGTTGGCCATGCGCAGCTTCCGCACCGCACTGGCGCACCGCCCTCCTTCAGCATGGTCGACGCCAAGGTTGCGTACATTCGACACTGCAACAGCACCGCAAGCTTTGATGAGCTTGGCCTGGAGCCCTTTCCTCAGCTTGGCACTGCTCGCGAGGATCCTGGACTTCTTCGTCGCGACCTTGAGCTTCACCTTGCTTAGCTCCTTGACCAAGAGCTTGGCGCTGGCAATCAGGTCCTTCTCGACTTTGCTGGTCCCGCCCCAGCGCTGCATCGCCAGGTCGTCCACGACTACTGCGGGAAAAACAGCGTGATGCTTGATCGCCATCGTGTCCAATGGAGTGAGGAGCATCACCTTCATGAAAGTAGCGGCGAACGCGTCGCCTGCCAGCACCGTCTGCATCACCGCCAGCTCGTCTGAGCAGCAACCCTCCAGGCAGACTACGCGGGGCAACCTGTGCAGGTTGATCTGCAGCTTGGCCAGCCAGAGCGGGAAGTTGTGGGCCTGGCAGGCCTTCAGGAGCTGGCCGTGTAGAATCTGCTCGAAAGCCTTCCAGAGGTCGAGGAGGATCGAAGCCGAAGCCCAGTCGTGCTGCTCGTAGAGCGCGCCCATCATGTGGACCCGCTCGGCCCTGATCTGCTGCTGCCACACGGCTCTGTCGCAGCTCTTGCCGGCGCTGGCCCACCAGTAGGGCCCGTCATGCTGTCGCCCCCACTGCTTCACGACTGGCCGCCGCAACCTTCCGCGCATGCGCGCGAGAGCCCCCAGCAGCGCGATAGGGCGAAGTCCTCCGTCCGTCTTGGGGATGAAGGCCATCTTGGTGACGAAATCGGGCCACTCGCACCTCTGCTCGATCACGTCAATCAGGTCGATCATGGCCTCGATGCCTTCGTCGTCCATCAGCTGCAGCTCCCTGGGCCTGAGCGAGTCGAAGGACGCGCCCGTGGCCTCCTTGAAGCTGCGGATCACCTTCCTGACCTCCTCGACTGTGGGCCTAGGCGGCCACTCGCCAAGCTCATCTGGCCAGTCAATGCGGGCTTCCTGGGAGCTGGCGCAGGAGGAGGTGGCCCCCCCCAAGCCCCAGTACCCCGACCATCCCTTCACCAAGGCGGTAACCGTCTCCTGGAGGGTAGGAGGAGAGCCGTCTGCAGACGCCCCCGTAGGGCGAGGCGCCCAGCCTTGCGGAGGTTTGGTAAGAGCATGGAGGGCCCCCGTGCCTCTAATGTGATTGCCGATCACCCAATCGTTGTAGCTCGACTGCATCGCGTCAGCCTCCTTCTAGACCATCCTGTCGGCAGCCGCGTTGACGTAAGCAGCGATGCCCTGCAGCGTGCCGATGTCCAGGGAAGGCGTGGCCTCCGCCAAGGTAGCGAAGATGGTGATCGTGTTCAACTTGTGCTGGTCGGCGGCCAGAACCAGGTCGTCGCCCTTCATCTTGCTGAGAACCCGCAGCGCTCGAAGCCGACGAAGGGGAAAGTCGACCTGCGCGCAATCCTTGATCGCGATTGCCACCCTCTTGTGCCAGGATGTGGCCTTGGAGCACTTAGGGATACGTGGCGGGCTGGGTACCGCAACCTTGGCCATCTTGAGGCGTGGCCTGGCAGCGCGGCCTGCATAGTCGTCGCGCTCGTGAGCCAGTCCGACGGCGTCGATTATGTTCCACTCGGCCTGGTGGACGAAAAGCTGCCAGCGCGAGGAGAGCGAACTCGTGGCCTGCATGGCTTGCCGAATGGCCACCCAGGGAGCTGAGTGGCCCCTGCTGCAGCACGCGGTAGGCAGCGGGCAGGGCAAGCGCTTAGGGATCTCCATGATCTGCATCTTCCTGGCGAAGGTGCTGCCGTCGACCCTCAGCTGGACAGGAAAATGCTGCGCTAGGTTCCAGCCGTGCAGCACCTTGGCCTCCGCTGCGCCGAATGTAGTGCTGATGACCCAGTAGTCGATGATGCGCCCCCCAGGGCGGCAGGTGCCCTCGACAGGGGCGACCGCCTTGAGGTTGAGCGCGTTGAGGAAACCTGACGCCGCCAACTCCTGCGGCTCCAGATTGAAGCCCCCGCCGGTGATGATGGGCTTGGCGACCTGCTTAGCCGCGCGGTAGACGGCCTGCAGCACCTGGTAGTTGAAGTCGGACATGCCCTCGCTGTCCTTGAGGTATACGTTGAACCAGGCGACTCCGCCAGGCACAATGCTAGCGAAGTGGGCGACCGAGGCCCTGCCAGGGAAGAGCTCGAAGCCGCTCTTCATCTCAAAGGCGCCGAGGCCATGCGCACGCGGCGCCAGCTGCAGCAGCCCTCCATGGCCGTGGAGGCCAGGGCCCGTACCCACTGCGGGGCACGCGAGGGCATGCCAGCCCTGCTTCTTGAGCTTGTCGGTCAACTCAGCGCACACAAAAGTCGGAGAGGTGAGTTTCCTGCACCGCAATCAAATCAGCGTTGCGCACCTGGTACTCGTCGAGCAAAGCATCAAACCTGCTGTAGGCATTGGCGTTGATGGTGGGCGCCGTCCACCAGCGCCTCTTGGCAGAGCTACCCGCCTGCCGTCTTGGAACGCTTGGCTGTACGGATGGTCTCCATGGCCTCGGCAAGCCTCTTGCGTTCGCCCTCATCCTGGCAGGAGCCCAGCAGGCCACCAGGATCATCGCCAGCCATGAAGGCGTCGAAAGCCTCGTCGGGCGTGGTCCCATGCGCTGGTCCCCCCTCTGCAGCTGCCGCTTCGCCACCCTCAGGAGCTGGCTCGTGACCAGCAGGCGGCCCGTGCTGCTGCGGCTCGGTTGGCCTGCTGGCGCTGTCGAGCTCATCGACCGCTGCTAGGAGGGACTTGAGGAACTCCGCGAGCGAGATGCCATCCGTGGGGATCTCTCCGAGCTTGGCCTTGAGCTGCTGCGCCGTGAACGCGCCAGCTGCGGGTGTGCACGCACCGTACAGCCTCGCCGCGTCCTGCTTCGCCGCCTCCAGCTCCTTCTCCAGCTTAGCCACGTCAGCCTCCGAGGTAGCGACCGCCTCCAGCATCCTGAGAGCCTTGTCCTTGTTGCCTGCCAAGCGGTCCTTCGCGTTCTGGAGGGCCCTGGCGGCCTTGTCGACAACTTGAGGAGCTTCACGACCGGCAGCGCCCAGCAGCCCAGCAGCAGCAGCCCGCCTGGCGTACTCAACCTTCTGCCTTGATGACTGAGACAAAGCATTCTTCGTCTTCTCGTAGACGTCAGCGGGAACCTCAGACCACTCCTTGACGTCGCTCGGCGTGAGGGTTTTGAAACCAGCCCTTTTGCGCTGCATCCAGAAATCGGCTCCTTTCGGCCCGCCGTTCCAAGGACGAGGCGGTGGTTTGGCCTCTCCACAGCTGTTGCACGTCCGACGGCCCTTGGTGTTGAGCTCACCGCAACTGCACTTCCAGTACTCTGCCATGGCAACGGCACACCGGCGAGTACGGTGAGCTGACACAAGTGTCGAGCGAGTTTGCCGAGCACAGAGGTGCCAGCAGAGAAACTTTGATGGGCGAGCCGCGGACTAGCGGTATCCGTTTTCTCCACGGGGGGAGGCATGGTCTTGAGCCAAAATGGCTACGGAACTCGGCGGCCGAGAATAAAACCGTCTCCTATCGGTTGCGCCATAGGTTGCGCCCTGGGCGGCCGAGAATAAAACCGTCTCCTGTCGGTTGCGCCATAGGTTACACCCTCGGCGGCCGAGAATGAAACCCTGTCCTATCAATTGCGCATCAATTTGCGCCCTCGACGTCAAACATAAAACTGTCTCTGATCAATTGCGTCATAGTGTGCGCCCTCGGCGTCAAACAATAAAACCGTCTCCGATCAATTGCGCCATAGGTCGCGCCCTCGGCGACCGAGAATAAAACCGTCTCCTATCGGTTGCGCAACACATGGCGCCCTCGGCGGCCGAGAATGAAACCCTCTCCGATCGGTTGCGCCATAGATTGCGCCCTCGGCGGCCGAGAATAAAGCCGTCTCTTATCGGTTGCGCAATAGGTTGCGCCCTCGGCGGCCGAGAATAAAACCGTCTCCTATCGGTTGTGCCACAGGTTGCGCCCTGGGCGGCCGAGAAATCGGTTGCGCCATAGGTTGCGCCATCGGCGGCCGAGAATGAAACCCTGTCCCATCGGCTGCGCCAAAGGTTGCGCCCTCGGCGGGCGAGAATAGAATCGTCTCCGATCAATTGCGCCATGGGTTGCGCCCTTGGCAAGGCATTCGACCAGTGTATTCAGTTAGTTCAGTTTAGTTCAGATCAGCTCAGTTTACCTCGCGAGAAACAAGTTCGGGCCACGCCCGCACAGACGAAAAAGGAAACCGACCAGGGCTGGAAAGAGTGAAAGGGCTGGCCGGGGCCACTTGTTCCAGCTTCCCTGTATGGATGTGTGTGTGTGTTGCTCTCGGGGAACGAATAATGACATAAAAACATAACAACTCCGAGGTCCGCGCGGATTTCTCGGATCGGCGCTGGGGCCCCCAGGCGGCGCCTCCGGCGCCGCCCCCGGCGCGCTCCGCGCGCCAGGGAGGGGGGTCCAGCGCCGACCCGAAAAACCCGCGCGGACTTCCGAGTTTTTATGTCTATGCCACTTTTTGCCCCCCTATGCTCGTTCGTGATGACCGTGTTGCAGCTCGCGCCGTGGCAGCCGCACTGGGAGACGGTGGCGGCCAGCAGCGCGGCCAGGCGCACGGCCGCCATGCCGCGCGGTGCCCCCGAGAGCGAGGAGAGCCCCGGAGCCGCCCCGCCCCGCCGGCGCACAGACCCGCCGCCCGGTGCCAGAAGGCCTGCGGAAGCCGCACACCTCCGCTCCCGGTGGCTGGCGGAATGGCGCGAGAGCCTCTTGATGAGAGTCAAAAACCCACATGATAAGGACGCGCGTCTTTGCTCAGGGAACCCTTGCGTCCTTGCTCTTCCTTGCTCTTGCGTCCTCGGGGTGTTCGTCGTCCGCCGCCCCAGAAGTCCCAACTTCGGCTTCCAAGGGTCTTGCGTCCTCACCGCGCGTCCTTATTAGGGTTTTTGACTGTAGTCCGCCCGCCCACCAGTCTGAGGGGGCGTGTAGGATTTGTCTGTGAGAACTGCTTTCGCTGCTTTCGCTCCCTCCCTTCCCCCCCTCCCCCCCCAGAACCTCCTCCGCAGTTCCGCTCAGTTGCGCCGCCCTCCCTTTTTTCGCCCCCAAGACGGCTTCCAGACGGCGTCCAAGACGAGCTCGAATTTCAGACCGTTGCCAATACCCCGTCGGGGCCTGTGTTTGCTCGGTCCATTTGGGTCCCCCTCTTGGTCTCCAAGATCGACTTTGGGACCATCAAGAGCGCCTCTTCAGCACAGCATCGCCCACAAACTGGAAGCCCAGCAAATCTCCTTGGCGCAGGACGGCTTCAGCTTAGCCTGGGATCGCCGAGGCACCTCTCACAACCGACCTCCGGGCTCGTGGAGCACTTCCCGGCATGCGAACTCCGACTCCGATTTTGAACGCGCTCCAGGATCCCTGTTTGACGATTCTGGTAAGGAACCCAACTTTATACACCGATACTTTTTTCTGGTCCCGCACTGAGACTCGCACAAAAAGCGGATTATGGTGTATACGGCATCCTGGTGTATACCTTTGTTGTTGCTTCCACGGGAAGGCGGGGAAAAAAGTATACACCACACCACCCCGACGTGGTCCCCGACCCTAGAAAGTCCTGGGATTGAAAAACCGCCCGCCAATGGCAATGTATATGCTCCAGTTTCCGATCTAGGCCCAACTTGGGCCCCAACGCGGGCCCACCAGACACGGAGCCAGACCGAATCCACTTCGGGACGCGGGTGCGGCCCAGCGTGGACGTGCTCGCGCTGGGGCCGCCCAGCGGCCCGCCAGGGCCACCTCTCGGGCCCAACTTCGGTGCTCCTGGAGCTCTCTCCGGCCCTTTGTGAGCGACGTGGGAGCCGTCGTCAGGCCGTCTTGGGCTCCTCTTGGGCGGTGCTCCTGCTATTTCTGGCCTCCTGCTGGCAACGGGATGGAGAAGAAACGGAACGCGACGGCCCGACACACGCACACCTGCGGGAGGGCCGCCCCGTGTCTCTGAACCTGTCCATCCCGGTCCTGGAGCCGTCTTCGCCTGTGCCGGCAAGACCCGGCAGGGGCGAGCGGTGAGCGCGAGGCGCCGCGGATCACAGATAGAGGCAACATCTAGCGCTAGATGTGGGAATGTGCAGTCGTCACTGGCTTATGCCACCATGGACGAATCATTTTCGCCTGGGCTGTCGCATGGGAAGCGGGCGCGACCGACTCCCAAACGCCAATGCAGACGCAGATGTGCCCCACGAAGTCCATGAACGAGAAGAGGGCCACTATCAATAGGCTGGCGTAAACGTACACGAGCAGCTGGATGAAGAACTCGGGGGGGCAGAACAAACATGTAGACGCGAAGTACGGTGATGCGTTTAGAATGTCCGTGGACCGCCGGACGGGAACAACGAGAACCGAAAACGAAATAGGTCGAGGCTACTTTTCTCCCAAAATTGCAAAATAGTGCTAGACTGAACCATGTAACTACGTTCGCCCACGCGCAGAGACGGCTTCCACAATCCACAGTGTGAGCGAATGTTTGACCTAATCAAACTATCTCCCCTGCACTTGCGCGTTGTCGAACAAACATGGGGCAGTCTGACATTCAGAAGAACACATGGTATCGCCAGAGGCACCCCAAGCAGGATGCCTCCTGCTCACCCGTCCCCTCCTCAGCCTCCCATCCAATGATCCCTCCAAGGCCACCCTAGCAACTCCGTCAACCTGTAAGCATGCCCTAAGCAAAAATCCCAAGCCTACTTCTCCTCCTCCTCCGTGTCATCAACCGCTAGAGGCTGTCGGCAAGTATCCTCGGCCGTGGCTCAAACTGCTTTGAGCCACGCTAGACCTCCTGAGACCAGCTTGGGGGTAGGAAGAAGAGGAAGAGGAGGAGGAAGAGGAGGAGGAGGAGGAGGCGGGAGAGGAAGAGGAGGAGGAGACGGACAATGAGGAAAAGGAGAGGAAAACGAGGAGGATGAGGAACAAGCAGAATAGGAGAGAAGCAGGAGGGGAAACAAGGAGGAAGGAAACGAGTAGTTTGGCAGGAGGGAGATGAGGATGAGCAGGAAGGGAGGAGGAGGGAAGAAGCAAGAAAGGAGGAGGGAGATAACGGCCGATGACAACTAGGATGGTTAGTCGGGCTTTCGAGATGCATTGTTGTGGGAGGTGTATGGCCATGTGTTGTGAATGTTTGTTGCTGTGTTGGATGTATGTTGTTGTTATGAGGCGACGTGTGTTGTTGTGACTTGTTGTTGCAAAAAAAAAGCAACACAACTCCCAAATCACACAAAATAAACTGGTACCAATTCCAACCGGGGCACCCATGTCGACCCCCAGAATGAATGTGTACCCTTCAGACGTTCATTTGATGCCTGGATCTTGTGAAAATACTGTACCAAAGGAATCCTACTGTAGGCCCGAAGCGGCTAGTTGCAATCGGTACCAGCTGGTTTGTGAGCGGGTTGAGAAGTGCCCAAGTCGGTTGTAATTGGTCCCAGTCGCTTGGGATTGGTCCTACATGCGATTCGACCCCCCCCGTGGGTGGGGGAGGGGTCAGGCGGCTGCAACGCGCAAGGCCGAAAAGAAGCTCCTCAGGCTAAAACGATGTATTTGGCCTGTGTATTTTGGGGGGCCTTGCGCGTTGGGGTTTTGCCTTGCGGGTAATCTCCGGGGGTCAGGGGCGAGAGGGGCGCGTCGTCGGAGAAAGAACGGAAAGAAGGGCGGAGAGAGGGGGGAGAGGGAGGGGTCAGGGGAGAGGGGGGGAGGGGTCAGGGTCGGCGTCGTCGCGGGGGGGGGGGGGTCAGGGGGGAGAGGTCTGGGGGGCGGGCCCCCCCGATCATCCGGGCGCGCTGAATGTCCGGGAAGGGGGAGAAAAGGCCCCCCGGGCCATTTGGAAAGTTTGTGAGGCACCGGGACTAAGTATCCGGCTCCCCTCCCGTCTCTGACCGACTATGACTGGCCGACTGGCCGACTGGCCCTCTAGCCGACTGCGGAGTCGAAAAGATCTTTCCGGTGCCTCAGAAATTGTCCTACTCGGGCTGGGCTGCTGAAAGGAAGAACCAATGCACTGCTTTAGGCCAGCAGGATGAAGGGCCCAGAAATGTACAGCGCGCGAGGTGCACCGCGTCCCATTCCCGTCATGCACTTTGCAACCGACGACAGGCCGTCTACTTTGGGAATTCAAATTTACAACCTTGTATGATATTTTGAATTGGTAGGCTGGAAAAGGCGGATCCTGCCCATCGGCTGGCCAAGTGGCAGAGCGGGAGCGCATCTCAACCAGGGAGGGGGAGAAGGACGAAGAGCAGGCGGCGCAGGAGCAGGAGGAGTGGGAAGGGAGAAGGCGAAATATAAATACGGCACGATTCGCGTCGTGTCGACCCTGGCGTCGGTTCCTGACACCGCGGGGATCCTTCAAGCTTGAACGATCGGCCCCATCAAAGAAGGCAGGCTCGTTCAAGAACGGGTCGATTCTGGGCCACAGGCGGCGCTCAACCTTACACGCCCGCGCCGGGGTCGCCGCCGGTCGACACGAAGCGGACCTGCCGTACCTTTAGGTCGGGCATGTCCCCCTACAGGCGGATCTCGAATGACAAATACCCCCAAACATGCCCCAAACATGCCCAACAAATATAAAGAAGAGCATCGTTACCAGACTATTCTTGGCTATCTTTGACTATTTATTTTTTCCTTCTGTAGAGGGGCAGGCCCGGCTTTGACTCTCCCTCCTTGAAAACCGCTGGCTCCGCGCAGCCGCTGCGGGCGCTTGCGCGGTCGTGCCCTGCGGCGCGCCGCCCGCTCGACCGCTCCGCAGAGCCCCGCTCTCCAGGGGTCCGGGACCTCGCTCCGAGGGCAAGGGCAAGGATGCTCGGACGGCCGGGGCTTCTGAAAATAGTGCCCCTGGGCAGATCTGGAAGGTGAGAAAAAGAAAACGCGGGTCGAACACCGTGAAAGTGCCCCAGAGCAGTCGGTCTACATTGTTCATGCGCAGGCCACGGTACACATCCCGCGGCTGTCCGACTGGAACTCTCCGCTTTGGTTTATACGAGGCCTGGCGAGAGCTAGAAAGCCACAAGCCCCCGTGCAACAATGACTGACCCGAGGCCTCGTTGCGTTCGGGCCACTGTGAACCACCACCAGCAGATCCAATCAGGTGCACAGCATATTCCACGGGAGAAACAACCCTCTGATTCCACTGGCGAGCCTCTGAACTCACTTCGGGTTGACCCAAAAGGGGGTCCAGCGACAAGGGGGCGGTGCAATAGATTTGGTGCAATCGATTTGTGAAACTGCAATACATCTGGGGCGTGCAATACATTCCGGGGCGCAAATGTATTGCTGGATTTTCGCGTGCAATACATTAGTTGCAATACAATGCAATACAATTCTCCAGCGCAATACGTTTGCAATACAATTGCCCCAAATCTATTGCACCACAACGACGCGTCTGACGTCCCAGCGTGGCGCCCTGTGAAGTGCACATCTCGCCCGTGAGGCTCCGGTCGCCCCCCTCCTTCGAAGACCCAACTTCGCTCGAGTCGGGAGCGGCCAAGACGAGGGTGTCCAAGAAGGGGGGATGCAAATCATGATCGCCGGCATGTGCGCGGCCCAGCAGGGGGGCCAGGGACGTAATGAAACAAGAAGAGGCGCCATGAAATCTGGGGAAATATCATGGCCCACGCCCGGTTGAGAGAGCGTGATCCACCGCCGCTTTACTGCGGAAGATTGCCAACCTTTTCCTCTGGAGCCCGGGGGTCGTCCCCCCCCCCCTCCGAAAATCCCCCCCCCCCTGCTGGACCCCACCCCCTGATCCATCTGCCCCCCCCCCCCCCCTCCCCTTACTTTCCCCCCCCCCCCCCCCTCGAAAACCGGGAGGGGTCACTACCAGTTCGAACCCCCCCCCCTCCGCCCCCCCCCCCTCGAAAACCGGAGAAGGGGTCACTACCGGTTCGAACCCCTCCCCCCCCATCGAAACCGGATGGATCACTACCGGCTCGAACCCCTCCCCACATGCCCCCACCACTGTCGCACTGTCCCCACTCGTCCCCGCCCTGTCCTTCCCACCACGGTTTCCCTCTTTCCAGCTGGACCCCCCCCCCCCTCCCCCCCGGCAAAAATCTCCCCCCGCCCCTAACCATCCCCCCCCCCCCCTCCCCCCCCTCTCGAAACGGGGGGGGGTCAATACTGGTTCGAAAACCCCTCCCCCCTCCCCCTCCGGATCTAAAAAAAACTGCGGGGGTCACTACCGGTTCGAACCCCCCCCCATCGAAAACCGGAAGGGGGATCACTACCGGCTCGAACCCCCTCCCACCCCCCCCCCTCCACTCCACCGCCAGCAAACGACTCCCGGTCCCCACCACCGTCCGCATCACATCCCCCACTGGTGTTCCCAGCACCAATGTCCTCACCACCACTGTCCCCACTGTGTCCCCACCAGTGCCCCCACCACTGTCGCACTGTCCCCACTGTCCCCACCACTGTTCCCACCACGGTTCCACTCTCCCAGCTGAACCCCCCCCTCCTCCCCCGGCAAAACCCCCCCCTCCCCTACCCCTCCACCCCACCCCTCTCCCCTCGAAACCGCGCGGGGTCACTCTGACCGTTTCGAACCGAAAACCTCTCACCCCCCCTCCGTATCCGGAAAACGGCGGAAAACGGGGGGGGGGTCCTTACCGGTTCGACCCCCCCCCCCATCGAAAACCGGAGGGGGATCACTACCGGCTCGAACCCCTCCCCACCCCTTCCACTCACCGCCAGCAAACGACTCCCGGTCCCTACCACCGTCCGCATCACATCCCCCACTGTTGTTCCCAGCACCACTGTCCTCACCACCACTGTCCCCAGTGTCCCCACCAGTGCCCCGACCACTGTCGCACTGTCCCCACTGTCCCCACCACTGTTCCTTCCACGGTTCCACTCTTTCCAGCTGGAACCCCCCCCCCCTCCTCCCCGGCAAAAATCCCCCCCTCCCCCCTAACCCCTCCCCCCCCCCCATCCCCCTCGAAAACCGGGGGGGTTACTACTGGTTCGAACCATCCCCCCCCCCCCCCCCTCCGATCCGGAAAACCGGGGGTGGGGTGTCACTCGGCAGGCCACCATCGCGCAATCCGAAACACGGAGGTGATCACGGCCCGTCGTCGACCCCTCCCCCACTCCCCCCACTCACCGCCAGCAAACGGCTCCCGGTCCCTACCACCGTCCGCACCACATCCCCCACTGTTGTTCCCAGCACCACTGTCCTCACCACCACTGTCCCCACTGGTTCCACCACCGTCCCTACTGTCCCCACCAGTGCCCCCACCACTGTCGCACTGTCCCCACTGTCCCCACCACTGTACCCACCACGGTTCCACTCTCCCCACTGTCTCCACGGCCCCAACCACTGCCCGACTATCCCCACTGTCCCCACTGTCCCACTGACTCCTCCGCTGTCACACTGAGCTGTCCCACTGTTCCCACCACTGTCCCCACTGTCCCCACCACTGTCCCCACTGTACCTCTGTCCCATTGTCCCACCGCCGTCCTCGCCCCCGCCTTCACCACTGTCCCCACCACCATTGTACCCTCCACTGTCCCACTGTTTCCACCTCATTCCCACTGTGCCCACACCACTGTCCCCACCACCACCACCGTCCCCACCACTGTCCGCTGTGCCCCCTGTTCCCACCATTGTCCCCACCACTGTCCCCACCACTACCGGCCCTCTACTGTCCCACTGTCCCACTGTCCCCACCACTGTCCCGCTGTCCCCTCACCACTGTCCCCACCAACACCGTCCCCACCGCTGTCCGCACCCCCACTCGGTTTTCGAGGGGGGGTGGGGGTGGGGGGGTTCGAACCGGCAGTGACCCCCCCCCCTTTTCATGATGAACTGGGGGGGGGGGGAGGGGTTCGAACTGGCAGTGACCCCCCCCGGTTTTCCGGAAGGGGGGGGGGGGGAGGGGTTCGAACCGGTAGTGACCCCCCCCGGTTTTCCGCCAGCAGCGGTAGAACACGCTCTTTCCATGATGTCCACCCGCCCTAGTCATCCCTCCCCTCTTTTCCGCCCCCGATCGACGCACGGCGCCAACCAGGCCAGGCACGGCCGGGCCAGCGACGCCGGGCCAGCGACGCCGCCGTGGAGGCTGCGGCTTCGGCTGCCTCGCGCTCGCTGCAGCGGCTGCACGGCTCTGCCCGGGCTCGCCCGCCTGAACCGGCCGCACTGCGAAGGTAAACGAGGGAATCCCATCGAGGACTCTCGGCACGAGACGAGCAGAGCCGACGCGGGGCTGCTTCGTGGACTGTCCTCTGGAAAGACGTGGGCCGTGCACGCTGAAGCCTTGCCCAGGACTGATGTGTGGCGCGGCGGTCCCAAGGTAGGGCCACCGCCTCTGTGCCTGGCTTCTGACATGACTGCCCTGTGCTCCGTGCATGCTCCTGTCCTTCGTCGGCCGTAGAGATTCCCTGATTGCCGGCGGCGACGATAGGGGCGAATAGCCCAGGGGCGGGCGTTACGCGCATTCGCCCGGGAGCCTCGTCGATGACATAGGGCATCGGCACCCCTGGATACATGTATTGCTCCCCCTGGGCTATTCGCCCCCATCGCCACCTCCGAGCTTGGCCGGACGAGAGAAAGCGACGCCAGGAACCGCACGCAGCGCGCTCCAGAGCAGCACAGCCCGCTCTCGGCTACACGCAGGAGTGACCCTGGGCAAGAGTGACCTTTGGTGCGCGGCCTTTTGGGGGCAGCGGGGGGGGGACCAAGCACAAGCGCCGCGCGAGACGCTACTGCCGCATCGCCTTCGGCGATCGGGGGGCCCCCTTGGGCCCGCACCGAGGGTCACTCTGGCGAAAGGCCACTCCTGCGTGCAGACGACGCTCTCGCTGCACCCACCCGAGTGGCCGATCCTGGCGCCGCTCGTCTGGCCTCCCCAGGTGGGGGCGCCGGAGCCAGAGCCCGCCCCTGCGGCACGCAGGGGCCGGCCTCCCCTGGCTCTGCGCCACGGTGCATCCCGGCGGACGCACGGGGTCGCAGGCCTGCTGGGGCCTCGCTCTCCGCATTCTGCCTCTGCTCCGCTCTCCGCCGCATTCTGCCTCTCGCCGCCCATCTCAACATCACAGCCCCTCGCCGGTCCCTCTCGGCATGAGCTCCGTGGCGCTCTCTCTCTCTCTCTCTCTCTCTCTCGCTCGCTCTCTCTCTCTCTCTATCTCTGCTCATGCGCATCGATGTCCTTGTGTGTATGCGTGTGCGTGTGCGTGTGCGTGTGCGTGTGCATGTGCGTGCGCGTCTGCGTGTGCGTGCGCGTCTGCGTGTGCGCGTGTGCGCGTGTGCGCGTGTGCGCGTGAGCGCGTGTGCGCGTGTGCGCGTGTGCGCATTTGCGTGTGTGCGTGTGTGCGTGTGTGCGTGTGCGCGAGTGTGCGTGTGCGCGAGTGCGCGTGTGTGTGTGTGTGTGTGTGTGTGTGTGTGTGTGTGTGTGTGTGTGTGTGTGTGTGTGTGTGTGTGTGTGTGTGTGTGCGTGCGTGCGTGCGTGCATGCGCGTGTGTGTGAGTGTGTGTATGCGCGTGTGCGTGCGTGCGTGGTGTCTGTGTGTGTGGGCGTGTGTGTGGTTGGGTGCGTGGGTGCGTGGGTGCGTGCGTGCGTGCGTGCGTGGGTTTGTGTGTGTGCGCGTGTGTGTGTGTGCGCGTGTGTGTGCGTTTGCGCGTGTGTGCGTGTGTGCGTGTGTGCGTGTGTGCGTGTGTGCGTGTGTGCGTGTGTGCGTGTGTGCGTATGCGTGTGCGTGTGCGTGTGCGTGTGCGTGTGCGTGTGCGTGTGCGTGTGCGTGTGCGTGTGCGTGTGCGTGTGCGCGTGCGCGTGCGCGTGCGCGTGCACGTTTGCGTGTGCGTGTGCGTATGCGTGTGCGTATGCGTGTGCGCGTGTGTGCGTGCGTGCGTGCGTGCGTGCGTGCGTGCGTGCGTGCGTGTATGCGTGCGTGTGTGTGTTGTGTGTGTTGTGTGTGTGTTGTGTGTGCGTGCGTGCGTGCGTGTGTGTGTGTGGTGTGTGAGTGTGTGAGTGTGTGAGTGTGTGAGTGTGTGAGTGTGTGAGTGTGAGTGTGTGAGTGTGTGTGTTGTGTGTGTGTGTTGTGTGTGTTGTGTGTTGTGTGTGTTGTGTGTGTGTGTTGGCGTGTTTGTGTGTGTGTGTTGGTGTGTGTGTGCTGGTGTGTGTAGTCTTCTCTCTCTCTCTCTCGTTCTCTGTCTCGTCATGTGTTGTGGTATATCTCTCTCTTTCTGTCTCTCTTGCTCTCTCTCTCTCTCTCTCTCGCTACCTCCCTCCCACTATCTGACAGCTCCTTCCGGTTGTAGAAGCCGACGCAATTGTTGATCCAAGGGCAGTGGTGATCCATGTTCAATATGCACCTCGGAAGCGGCACATCAGACAAAAGTCAGAGCGCGTACACAATCACTATCTCATCGCACAGTTCCGCCGAGGCTCGCGAGCACCAGCAAACTCAGCAGTGCTGATCAGCTGTCTCATCTCGCGACACCAAAAAACTGATTCCCAGCCCTCCTGCGTGTCAGGTCCTCAATTCGCGCCGCCGCGCCCCGGCATCGCTCGGACGCGCGCGCGTGCGGACTGCCTCTGCCGCGCAGTGACGGAACCTCGCTTTTTAGCCCGTCCTTCCCGACTGCTGCCTCCCACTCCCGCCCCGACCTGACTCCTCTCGCCTGCCTCCCTCTCCCTCCCTTCGGCCACCTGCTGTCTGCTGCCGTCTGCTTCTGGGGCAGTGCAAAGGGGGGTCACCACTAGGGGGGTCGCCACTTCCTCGAGGAAACGCCACTTCCTCGAAACTTCCTCGAGGAACTGGGACCCCCAGAGCCCCGAAAACGCAAAGAAACGTCCAAGAACATCCTCGACCCCTCGACTCTCCATCCTGGAACCTCGATTTCCAGGAGAAGCTGGCGACCCCCCCAGTGGTGACCCCCCTTGGCACTGCCTGAGCTCCTGCGCCCCTCACACTGCCAGGTGCACCACCGTCGCAGTGGTGCCGCTGCCGGCTGCGGGGCTGCCAGCTGCGCCAACCAGCGCCACGTCCGTCAGCTCCTCCCTGGGAGGCCCTGCGGAGCGCCGCCCTGCGTGCACCCAGGCGGGACCTCGCGCTCCACTGGGGGAAGCTGCCAGCTGCACCACTGTCGCCACGCTCGTGGAGCCCCTGGAAGGCCAAAAGGGGGCGACGTCCTTCGCGCACCCAGACGGGGCCTCGCGCTCCCCCGAGTGGTTGTCAACTGCGCCACTACCGCCACTGTCGTGAGCTCCTGAGAGGCCAAGCGGGGCGACGTCCTTCGCGCACCCAGACAGGACCTCGCACTTCCCCAGGTGAGGGGCTCCCGACTACACAACTGTCGCCACTGTCGTGAGCTCCTAGGAGGCCCAGCGGAGCGACGTCCAACGCGCACCCAGCTGGGACCTCGCGCGTCCCGAGGTGGGTGGCTGCCAACTGCACGACTGTCGCCACGTGGGGCGACGCCCTTCGCGCACCCAGACGGGACCTCGTCGCGAACTCCTAGGATGCCCAGCGGAGCGACTCCCAACGCGCACCCAGACGGGACCTCGCGTTACTGTGGGAAGCTGCCAACTGCGCAACTGTCGCCACTGTCGTGAGCTCCTGGGAGGCCCAGCGGAGCGACGTCCAACGCGCACCCAGACGGGACCTCGCGTTCCTGTGGGAAGCTGCCAACTGCGCAACTGTCGCCACTGTCGTGAGCTCCTGGGGGACCCAACGGAGCGACGTCCAACGCGCACGAAGAGGGGACCTGTCGCTCTCGCTTCCCAGGGCGGGGGGGCTGCGGACTGCGCAGCCGTCGCCACTCTCGTGAGCTCCCAGCGGAACAACGTCCAACGCGCACCCGGATGGGACCTCGCGCTGCCCGGGGTGGGGGGGCTCCCAACTGCGCAACCGTCGCCACTCTCGTGAGCTCCTGGGAGAGCCCTGCGCAACTTCCTACGCGCACCCCCAGAAGGCACCTCGCGCTTCCCGGGGAAGGGGGCTGCCAGCCGCACAACTGACGCCACGTCTGCCAACTCCACGGAGGCGCAGCGGAGCGGCGTCCTGGGCTCGCGCAGGCAGGTCCGCGTGCTCCATCCGGGGGGCTGGCAACTGCGCCACTGCCTTCACTTTCGCGATCAGCTGGGAGGCCAGGAGCGCCCAAAATCGAATCGATAAGGCGGAGCGCCGATCAAAATGAATCGGAGCGGCGGAAATCGGCAGCAAAGTCGGGAGAAGTCGAACCAGCGGAAATCGGCAAGCTAATAAGGCCTCCATCGAGAAACCGGAATCCAAATCGGAATCCGAAGCCGAATCGAATCAGAATCGGAATCGATCGAAATCGAATCGAATCAAATCGGTAAAGTCGAAATGAGCCCTGGGAGGCCCAGCGAAGGCTCAAGAGTCAAAATCCAATCGGGTTGGCCCGCGGGGCAGGACTCTGTGAACCCTGGGCACCGGATCAGAGACAAGGGAAAGGAGTTACAAGAGGAGGAAGAGAAGGCAAGGGAAGAGAGCCGGTACCAAAAGGGGGAGAGGGAAAGGGGGGCCAAGGAAAGGCAAGAGGGGCAGCGCGGGGGCAGGACTCTGTGAAACCCACAAGAAGGTAGAAGTGCGCTTTCACCGCCCAGTCAGACTTTGCCAAGTATCCTCGATGCCAGCGAAAGATTGCCACTCCCCCAACTGTTTGTTCTCTGCAAGATTGTCAAATGAAGTCCTCGCATCGCATCCACGAAAACTGGAAGGAGTCCAACATCAGCGCCATCTACAAGAACGAGGGCGCAATCGACAGATGCGGCAACTACAGGCCGATCAGTTTCCTCTGCGTGGCTTACAAGTTAATGGTATCCCTATTGTTGAAACAGTTCCAACTAGGAGCTGCAGATGACCGTCTTCCTTCAACGCAAGGCGGATTCAGACGTAGACGAGACACCTCAGATGAGACTCGTGTGATGTCATATGGTTCGAAGGTCAATCGAGGAGGCTAGGGCGGCCAAAGATGAGAAGATTGTATTCGCCGCCCTAGACGGGAAAAAAGCGTCCGACTCTATCAACATGAACGCGATGACTGCCGCCTTGCGGAAAAACGACCGTCTCTCCGAAAATGCTTGTGCCAATTGCACACGTTTACGACAATCGCAATTTCTACGTTTTGACGGGCCCGGGCGCCCAAACAACGGCGACAACGATCAGGAATGGCTCAAGGTTGCCCTCTCTCCCCATTCCTCTTTGTGATGCTCTTGACAGTCTTGACGCGGGATGCGACGGACAAGTGGGGGCATCCAGCGAGAGCAGGTATGGAAGCTGGCCATATGTCCATCTCCTTGTACGCCGATGACACCGTATGAATATGTAAACCCCAACAGCCCTCACAAAAATTGTTGGATGCTGTTGCGTGGGCTGGGGCACGAGCCGGGATGGAGTGACATTGGGACACGACACATTCCAATTGATTCAGATCGGATGCGAAGTTCAGTTGCGAACTCGGGAAGGCTGCACGATCCCCGCCCGAGACCACTGGTCATACCTGGGGGGGCCACCTTGTACAGCTCAGGTTGCGCTGCGGAAGAGTCGAACAACCGGCTGGGGCCTGCATGGGCCGAGAGAGCCCAGAAGCACGCAGCCGTAGGCGAGAGCAGAAACGTCGAAATGCTGCAAGCTCTGATCACAAGCAGTGTCTTGGATTCACTCCCCACTGCGAGGCTGAACCAGTCAGAAAGGAGGCTGGATGGACTCCAAGCGAAGTGCCTCGGAAGGCCTTTTCACATTCCACATGCTTCCTTGTCTCCCGTGTCAAACAAGACCGTCCTGGGGGAGGCTCGGCAGGACCCTTACAGCACCTAGTTTCTACGACAACAGCGAGCGTTGTCTGGAAACATAGGTAGCGCGTCGAACCACGATATTCTCAGACAAGCCACTTTCTAGCCTGACAAAGTTATCTCTGCCACGGCCGCGCTCACACGCAAGCGTGGCCGACCGAAGCGAGAATGGGCAACGGATCTGTACATAATGATCTCGCCGAATTTCAATTCGCACGATTTGCTTCTACCGTGCGTACATGGCCCTGTGCACTGGGATGCGTTTGTAAAGCGCCACACGCAACTGTGCGGCGAGTCCGACGGGCATCTGTGACTTGTTGCTTGTTCTGTTTCCCATTCCTCCTCGCCCCCCTCTTCCTCTTCCCCCATCCCTACCGCGCACGATATGAAACATGCGACCGCCGTCGCGCCGCCACTCCCGCAAAGCGGTGATAACTGGCCGGCGTTCTTCTTTCGCCCACGCGCTCCGGCGCATGGCATGAGTGAGTGAGTGCTGCGACTGGATAAGCGTGTCGGGCGAAGCGCTTCACCCAGGCGGGACCTCGCGCTTTCTGGGGGGCTGCCAACTGCGCGACTGCTGCAACTTGCGTGAGGTCTTGGAAAATACTGCATTCTAGTCGGCATCGTCGTCCGTTTGCCATTCCCCCTCTCCGCGTCCTGTCCCTCGATATTGCCTCATGTCAGTCCTGTGGGGTGTGCAACGCGTAGGCCCCCGATGTAGCGCTCACGCAAACCATGGTGGTCCCTGTCATATCATCATCCGTTTGGAACGAACCCAATGCTTTTACACTTGGTTTGGGCGGGTTGGGTGCGTCCCTGGGTAGTTAGAGTCGGCCCCAATCCTGGGAAGACAGCTGGCCGTGCAGAGCGCCTGTCATGGAAAACCTCTCGACTCGCGCTCGGAGTCGAGAGCCCGGGGACAAGGTCAGGCAAAGAGGGCCAGGCGGGAGGGAGGCGGGAGCGGGAACGTCCGCAACGCAGGGGGGGGGAGCTATGTAAGAGGAGCCCATGGGCAAGAGGAGGGTGCGCAGGAGCGGACCCTGCCAGGACCTCGCGCCCACCAGCCCGCTCAGAGCCCCCCCCCCCCGCCAGGAGCATCGTTCGCCCCAAACCCCTGCGTCGGTCCATGGGGACACCACTCCTCCTCCTCCTCCTCTCCTCCTCCCTCCTCCTCCTCCTCCTCCTCCTCCTCCCCTCCTCCCCTCCTCCTCCTCCTCCTCCTCCTCCTCTCCTCCTCCTCCTCTCTTCCTCGCTCCTCCCGCTCCTCCTCGTCTCCTCCTCTCTCCTCGCTCCTCCTCCTCCTCCTCTGCCTCCTCCCTCCTCCTCCTCCTCCTCCTCCTCCTCCTCCTCCTCCTCCCTCCTCCGTCCTCGCTCCTCGCTCCTCCTCCTCCTCGCTCCTCGCTCCTCTCGCTCCCTCCTCCTCCTCCTCCTCCTCCTCCTCCTCTCCTCCTCTCCTCCTCCTCCTCCTCGCTCCTCGCTCCTCGCTCCTCCTACCTCCTCCTCCTCCTCCTCCTCCATCCTCCTCCTCCTCGCTCCTCGCTCTCCCTCCTCCTCCTCCTCCTCCGTCCTCCTCCTCCTCCTCCTCCTCTCCTCCTCCTCCTCCTCCTCCTCCTCCTCGCTCCTCCTCCCGCTGCTCCCTGGACCTTTTCCTAGTGCGCGCTCCGACCAAGACGTCTCGAGGCGCATCAGGCCGTGACGACGGCGCCTCCCACGGGATGCCCCCCCAGGGCGAGCACGAGGCACGGGCAGAGGCGTCGGTATCGATCCCTTCTCCTCCTCCTCCTCCTCCTCCTTCCTCCTCCTCCCTCCTCCTCCTCCCCCTCCTCCTCCACAATTACTCAATATGAATACTACTCTCCCTCTTCCCCAGATGACGGAATGGGAGTAGCCGACCCCCCCCGCGTACTGTTTTTTGACACGCAGGTTTCCCCGGAGTTGGGTTTTCGCATGCATTTTTTCCAAAATGCTGCTCTCGCTGAGGCCAATTTCTGCTTCCGGCGCCCGGGGGGCCTCCTGGGCCGATTCCGACGCCCGGGCCGGCGCCCGAGCAGGCGCCCGGGCCAGACGCCCGAGCCGGCGCCCGGGCCGGCGCCCGTGCCGGGTCCGGAGCCGGTTCCGGCCGGCGCCGGAAAATCGAGTTCCGAGGCGGCGCCGAAAAAAAGCCATTCCAATACACATTTTTCTTTTGAAAATGCTGAATTTATGCTTCTGGCGCCCTGGAAGCCTCCCGGGCCGATTCTGGCGTGCTTCCGCTCGTTTCGAATCGTGCTCCCGCTGCAGCGCTGGCCAAATTTCCGCGCTTCCGCTCGTTTCGACTCGTGCTCCCGCTGCAGCGCTGGCGTCATTTCCCGTGCCATGCCACGGCATGCAATGCAATGCTAGGTTGATGCTACGCTTCGCGGTGCTCGTCTACGCCATGCCATGCCGTGCTCTACAATGCTCGCGTACCCTTTGGTATCATTTGCCCTGCTCGACATCCGACTGTGGGCGTTGTGTGAGGGGAATCTGCTCCATGGTAAGGGATGGCAGGGCGGGTAAGGATGTCAGATATGAC